CTTACCTAACGCAAGGCAGTGCTCCCCCATTAACGCCAACTTGGGGCATTGTTTGTTTTAATTAGTAATTTGCGTGATAACCAAACAACAAGTCACGATTAGATTATTTTGAAAGGAACAGTTACATTAATGTCCAAATTACAATGTAATAGCCTGTAAAACATGGCTTGTGTTACAAACTGAAATACACAAGAAATGTTAAAATGGTGATTACAGTAGAACTTCCTCACAATGGCCATCTTGAGGACAGAGGAAAGTAGCTGTTGTAGAAAGGTGGCCGTTATGGGGAGGTAGGGGTGTATGATATGACATCTGTTTTTTTCGGGGGTGGGTGGGGTGGGGTGGGGGTGCAACATTTTTATTTTTAAAAAATGCTTATTGTAGCATGTAACTTAAAGTAACTGTTAGTCAGTCATTGATTAACTGGTTGTTATAGAGAGGTTATTTTGCCAGTCAGGACATGTTTTAGTGGCCGTTGCTATTGTGGAGAGGTGGCCGTTGTAGAGAGATTAAAATAAGTCAGAGTGAATGTATGGACTGTCCACCAGGACTTTAAAAAGTGGCCATTGTTGAGAGGTGGCGTTTGTGGAGAGGTGGCCGTTACTGGAGGCTTTACTGTTTAGTTGTAACACAGTATTATCAACGCTTCATGTCACCAGGGGCGATGCAAAGCTGCTGTTTTCAGCTGCAAATGATGGCACTATTATTGCCTGGGGTTCTGGTGGTGCCGTACATGATAGGATTCCAGTAAGTTATTAAAATTTTCTTTTAAAGTATTCATGTTGTCTTTCTTTTCCATGTTTTACTTGATGTGGAGCCTTGATTATCCAAACTCTTATTCCCTGGAATTACCAGATTCCTTTACAAGTAATGTTCACGTATATTTATCAGTCAGAACTCTTCATGATTGTCTGGTGCGCATGAAATTTAAGTCTAAGAAAAGTCTAAGAAATCTAAGAAAATATAATTGTGTTACCACAAAATTTACATTTATGGTGTAAATTTGTAATTAAATGAAAAACATCAAACTGAAAGACATTAAAAAAAATTTTATTTCCTCTTAGATTGGTTCTCCAGTGTACTGTATGTCGTGGAATACAAGAAGAAATCAAATAGTCGCTGCCGTGGATTCAACAGTACAGGTGTTTAACATGAGGGATCCAGGTAAGTGCTTCAAGATCTATGTTGTTCTATCATTTCAGGGATTGAGTGGTCCAGGTTCGAGCCCTGGCGGGGGACATTGTGTTGTGTTCTTGGGCCTGAAACTTTACTCTGACTCATTAAGTGCCTCTCTCCACCCAGGTGTATAAATGGGTACCAGCAAATTTAATGCTGGGGATAACTGTGTGACGAACTAGCATCCCATCCAGGGGGGAGTAGAAATACTCCTAGTTGCTTCATGCTACAGAAACCAGAGAGAAGCACCAGCCTGATCGGCCACTTGGCTCATTTGCAGACATATCATTTCATGGAACAGTATTCTCTCTTGTTCCCCCTCCTCTCCTACATGTAACTCCAGACCTATTTTTGCTCTTGCCCCAATTTTTTCTTCACTCATATGCAATCATGGACAAAAGTGTTGAGACATATTTATTTAATTAGTAAAACTAACTCTTTCGAACTAACAATAATACTTTGCTTTTGAATGAAAACACCTTTTTCATCTATAGTCACCCCTTCCCCCCCAAACAATGTTGCAAAATGCTTTGTTGATGTTTATTTGTTTCCAACATTAAAAAAGGGGGAAGGGGAGGCTACCTTTCACAAGGGGAGAGAGGAGAATTTACACCTAGGGAAAAAAGGATTCTAATTTTCATGTGTCTATGATTGTGGGTATACCACATCATAATAAATGACTGGTAGATTGTTAAGGATGATAACTAGGAAGTACATCCCATCCATTGGGAGTAACAAGTTATTCTCCTTCAAGATTGTGAAAAGTAGCTGGCTACTGACCAAAATTACCATCTACTTTATGATCATGAATGTACCCAGCTACTCTGCTGAGTTATTTGTCTTATTCTTTAGAAAGAGATGAAAAAAATCAGCCACCCACTCCAAGAAATTATTAAGCCTCCTACATGTTCTTCATAACTTACAGTGTATGTCTGCAATAAAAAAGCGATAGATTGTTTTGTAATTATGTAGGCAATCTTTTCTTTGTAATTTCAGGCAGAGAAATAGGGCATGTGATTGACACAAAAGGTATACTGTTTACAGTTATTTTGATTTGTAGCTGTTAGAAATTTATAGGATCAACAAAATTAAAGCTACCGACAACTTATACTCAATGGACTCTTTCATTTTCAGCCCATGTCTGCAGAGAGCATTCTGATATTGTGAAGTGTGTGGTTTGTTATGAATCAAGAGTGTACAGTGGAGGGTAAGAGATTTAGTTCAAGTCAGAAAGATACATAATTATATACACTTTATGCTGGAGGCAGCATAGCCAAGTGGTTAGGGCACCGGACTTGAAATCTGAAGGTCGTGGGTGCAAGCCCCACTCTGACCACTAAGCTGGAGTTGTTCCTTGGAAGACCCCACTTCAATTCCTCGGCCATGCTTGTAAATAGCCAACTGGTCTGCCTCCCAGCAGTTGGGATTTTTAAGCCTGCAATATTTGTGTCTTTCAGTTTAAGTGGCATGCCTTAAAAATAGCTAGTTGTAGTTAACTGCATCGACCACTATAAACATTCAACAACATTAATTATTAAGTTATGTGATCCCCAGTTAGAAAACACAGTCCTGCATAATAATTTTTAATTACTAATTTTCACTGAATGATCTCATGGTTATTGTTATTTTTATACATTGCAGATACGATCAGAAGTTTATTGTGTATGATTCAACTTTTTCATACAAAGGAAACAAGAGTTTATCAGTTGTAACAAAGTAAGAATTCAAAACTTACACTGGAAATTGCAGTACATGGATGTTTGTCTAGAATAATTCTAGAATTTGAAAATGTCTACATCTGGTAGCTAGCATACAGGCCTCAGTTGTTCAAAGACTGAAAAACACTACCCACAGGATACATTGCTATACATTGAATAAGTGTTAACAAAACAAACTGTGCTATCTGGTGGATAGTGTTATCCATCTTTTGAACAACCCAGGCCATGTGTATAAACTAGTCAAGTATGAGCCTTTTGTTGTCTACTTAAACATGTACAGAAATTTTTTTGCTTTGCATTTGTAATTTATTTTATTTTAATTAAATTTTTAGGGTCAATAAAGCTCATGATGCTGGTATAATCTGCATGTGTCTTGCACGGGACTCAGACAATAATACATGGTAAATATTGTCAGCTGAAAATCATTCTAGTAACCTTCCTAGAGACAGTGAGTACTGGGTCTTTGAAAGACAGCTTAATTGGATTAATATGTGTAGAATACAAAATACTATTAGTCATTTCTGTACAAAATATTTTATAGGGTGTTAACAGGTGCATTTGACAAAGTTGTGAAAGTTTGGTCTCAAGATGGACAAGTTATGCACAAGTTTGATGGCTTCAGGTAATGTCACTTAAAACTATGATTTGGAACCCCCATTCTGTCAGAACAAAATTTCAAGCACTGTAGAATATAATTCATGAGCTGCTCTTTTTTTTTGCCAGTTGTCTGCCAAGCTGGTGTACATTTGTAGGTTTTAGATCCTCTAGCGTGAGCAATAAAGCCATTACTACTGGGCTAGTCAGACACTTACTTCATCTTTAGTTAGAACTGAGATGAAAAGGTCTCTCTAGCATGAGTAAACCTCAGTCTTTTTTGCTAGCTTTGATACCGAGTCTAGATTGAATTAAACATTTATCAGTGCTACATTCTAGTATAATATTTAAAAGTGCCAGGAAGCTGTTAATTGATATCAGTGAATCTGTTTTGAACTGTTGACAGTGCTGCAGTAACAGGAGTGTGTTATGTCAGACCCATCAAGACAATCTGGGTGGCAGCTGGGACTGCTGAAGCTGCTATGTATGATCCCAAATCAGGAGAAAATGTGAGTTCTTAAGTTGTAGGTTTTTTTCATATGAGTAGTAACCATATGGCTGACTATCATGATGTGCATAAAAACTGCAAGGAACAGATTGCTTGATGATGTGAATGACAGACCAGAAAACCTGTCAATCCACACATGTTAGGCTTTATGCCACATGGCTTTGCTGCAGAATTGATTTAACCACTAAGCTACAGTTGTACTAAGGTTTAAATCTGTTTCAGGTGACAGATTTTATAGGAACGTTTCAAAATGAAGAAGGCAATGGGTGAGTGAAATTTATAATTAAAGAGATGCATTTCACATTGTTGTTTTAGTCAGCAATGTAGATGTACATTGTAAAGGTGGAAATGTTATTTTTGATTCTATTTCTCATCATTGCAAAATCATTAAATTTCTAGTGTGACTTAATCCTCCCTTAAAGGTTTTATTCCCAGGGGTGTCATTAACATTTTCAGCAGGAGGACAACTGGTTTTCACAGGCAGGCAAAACTTTTTCAACTGATCTTCTTTATAAGAATAACTTTCCTCTAGATGTTCAAACCAGGTGGGCCAAATCATCGTCACAGCTGGTCAATTTGCCCAGTGTCCAGCCCTTAATGGAACCCCTGTATTCCCAAGGAAATCCCTCTGAGGCTATTATTGGATCAATCCTGGTTTCAGAATTCCCAGGATTAGGTCAAGAAATAACTGATCCTGGGATGCAAATTTTAGTAGCTTTATTCACATTTTTCATCCACCACCAACGTATCTAGACAATCCCTGTGGGAACATCATCTGTGGGAGGACTGAATACTATACCTTGAAGATAGGGTCTATGTGGACAATAATTTAACTCTTAAATAATCTTCACCCACTCATAATTTTCTTATTTTGCCTCATCTCTGTCACTGTATTATTAGCTTTCCACTGGTCATGTTTTACTACATCTCTGACTTGGGACATGTCATAGGTATGTACTGTTCAATCCTCAACAGTTGCATCACATTATGTGCTTTTTCCATCAACCTGCAAATCAATGTGTGGTTCCAGAGAACATCCATCCCCACAACAAGGAGGGTTATTAGAAATTCCATGGGGGAGATGGGTCTCAAAGGTCAAAATTTTTGAAGGAAAGTAAGAACCAAAACTGAAATTCCCACAGGGATGTGAGAGGGGGTGTTCAAACCAAGTAACTGTACATGTAGGGGTATGGATATTTTCTGGAACAACACAGTAGAGAATATCACATCAGTTTCTTATAACCTACAGGTGCGTTAGTATTATTAACTAGTCACAATAAATAGCTTTATTACATGACTAAGTTAGTTCAGAGGGCCAATAACTAAAACCAACCAATCAGATAATTTGCTTCATTGTCAGTCCAATATTCACTAAACATCGGACCAGGTACTGCCCAAATGATCCCAGAAGATTAATCTTGAAGATTTTCTGGCAGTTTCAGTCGTGTAATAAATCCCATATTAACCAGTTTGCTAAGTGGGACCATACTGGTTTTTAGTACAGCCCTTGCACTTGATCGATAAGATAATATATGTATTGAAAATGGTTGCTATACTCTGGAATAAGAAAGTAAATAATTGAAACTAACAGAGGGAATTGATATGACCTTGAAAAGGCAAAATTCAGATAGTTTCTTGCTACAGCAGGTGACATCATCCAGAAGATTTAGAATGATCTAGAATGAATGAATTGCCTTGACAAACAGAGGCACGTCAAGGCTGTTTCTAGCACTATGAGCATAAGTTGTATAGGGGGTGAGTATAAAGAGCAGTGGATTAGACTGGTCTAAAATGCTTCATATGAAGACAGCTTGTGGTTAAGAGATGGAATTGCTTTGACATATGAAGAACTGATCTCGCTCAACCTAATTTGTTTATATCATGGATTTGGTCACAAATTAAGTTAATGGTCACCAGTGTAACATTGATGCAAATTAAGCTTGGAGTAGGGAGCACACTCCCAGCCAGCCTGGGTGCACAGACAGAGTGCCTTGATCTTCTCTGTAAAATTTCAGGAACCAACAGCAGACGGCATTTAATTGTATGGAAGTACAATTCATCTGGTTGTTTGACAACACTGAAGAACAAGTGTGCTATGGAGTCTCTAACTTACAGTAAGTTGTGATCTATGGCATCTACTTTTAAGCCATAAACGTTTTTTTAATACTTTTTGTAGACGTGTTTTTTTTGGACAATATGTGGTTCAGTGTTGTATTGTTTTGTTACATTGTATAGCTCGTAAGGTGCCTCTGTTGATCTTCAGTGGAGGCAGCAATGGCCATGTATCAAAATGGGAAAGACTTCAATCAAACAACTTCATGTACAGGTAATATTGCATCGAAAAATATACATGTAGCCGTTATGTTAGAATTGGTAAAACAAAATCAAAGTTTTACTGCATTAGAGGTAGTCTTGTATACCTGATACTGTATTGAAATATATATATATATTTTTGTTATCTTTCACAATACACTCAGGTCTGTTCTAGTAATAGTACATGATTTATAAATGTTCAGTAGTGACAAATTATGAACTACAAGGAGGTGATGTTAACTTTGCTGATTATTTCCTCAATTTTTTTTTGACCCATAGGTTTGGTTATGTACTGATAATGTACTGATAATTGGAAGTGTGCACTCTTGGTACTTAAAGATCCATATATTTGACAGTTGTGTGTTTTAATGCTTACAGCAAAGAGATGTTTTTGCAAAGTGAGGCCAAGTCACGGTTAGCAGCCCAGATTGCCGCTAAGTATGATTGGCGCAGTCCAAACAGGCATGTTAGTGGTGATAACAGGCCAAAACCATCATTCCTCAACACCATCAACCAGGTAAACGGAACCCTTACAATTTTTATAGCTTGTTGAAATAAGCATTTATGTTCATCAACGATAAAAATAAATTATACAATTTAAAGGTAAGGCCCAGTTCATACGTCGCATTTCTGCCGTGTCGAATTCAATTCAATTAAGTGCGGCAGAAATGCGATTTTTTTGTACATAGATGATATAATCAAAGAACAAAGAAAGCTTAAAAAGAAAACACAGAAAATCAAGACACAGCAAACTCAGAAAAAAGGAGTGCGGCAGCAACAAGGGAAACAACAAACTAGAGGAGCTGCTGCTAATCAGAAGCAGAGAAAGAGGATAGGTGGAAAACAGAATGGTCAGTCTGTGCAACAAAGACAGGGAACCCAGGACCGCAGAAGGCCAATAGCTGGAAAGCAGAGAGCACAACAAAAGCAGGCTACCCAAGGGCAAAGAAGAGCGATAGGTGGAAAAAGCCAAGGACGTGGTGGTGGGGGCAACCAAAACGTCAAGAGAAACACAATAGCAGGGAACAAAGGGAGATTTGGAGGGGCTAAGGTCACTGCAAATAGGCTGAAAAACAAACAGGGATCTTTACAAAGGGTTGGTTGGTTTTCAGTTTTTGGCCATGTTTTCTTCCTGGCTTTTATCTTTTTGGTAATTAGACATTGTAGAGGGGCCTTTAAGTTTGAGCATGACTAGAATGTAGGAGAGACATTCTCTTAGTATCTTTCACCACCCTGTTTTAAAAGCCCTGGCCATTATTTCCCTTGACAATTCACAAATGCCAATGAGAAAAGATAGCTGATCACATAAATTGTGTTATGTTGTCAACAGAGTAAGCAGATCATTTCCAAAGCTAAGAAGCTTCAACAGAACAACAGACCTAAGAACAGAGTGAACAGACAGACTCAACAAAGAGATGCCAGGCAAAATATTATCAATAACAGGAGAGGAATGCGGGTAAAATGAAATTCTCTTTTGCATTATATTCATAATATTATTGTGCTAAGACAGGTATGAATAAGTTATGCTTACTTTTCTTCACCCTTTGAAGTCGGTCAGTCGGTTGGTCGGTCAGTCAATTGGTTGGTCGGTTGGTCATTTGGTTGGTTGGCCAGCTGGTCAGTCATTCAGTCAGTTTGTGATTAGTATTGCTTGACTGTTAATTTTTTGTACAAAAGTAAACACCACTTAATAAAAGTTTGGGAATCTTAGATATAATGTAGGCAGGGGTCAAAGAACTGTGCAGTTCCACAAAATATCGAGACCAGTCAGGATTGATCGTTTTAAAAGTATCAAGGGTGGAGGGTTACAGAAGCTAAAATTTGTAGATGGGTTAGAAGGAATTTTAGCTTGAGCATGGTTTGCAATCTTAAAAAGTTTAGCCTAAATTTTTCAATCTTTTGTTTGTAATTTGTTTTCCTTTATGGTTTATTATAATCTCTTTCAACTGGTGTTTTTCTATCTTAGAAAACTGTAACAGTTATAAATTTTAAGTGGCCAAAATACTCAAAATACGGTGACTGAGCTCCTCTAAGGAGGGGAAACTGCAATACCTTTCATCGGAGGGGGATTGTTATTTTCTGGAAAGTTAGAACCGCATATTGAGACTATGCTGTTTACTTACTGCAATACTGTTGCTGCTGTCTTTTTATTTTGTATAAATTCAGGGTCCATTAAAAGGTAATAGACAGAACAAGAACAAGGCTCAGAATGCAAGAAATCTATCAAACAGAAACTTAGGAACACCCAAACTTCAAAGACAAAACAGGTACCAGCTATCTTTCTATGAAGATGAGCGTGCATGTGGGCTCTCATTAGCGTGGTTGTGTTGTATTGCAAGTTTTTTTAATCATCAAGATGAGAACATTAGATGTTTAATCTTGATTTATAGACACTATATCTTTTTTGCAGAAGAGGACTTCAATCTCCCCAGCTTACTGTCTCTATAAATAACCCCAGAGTTAGGTCAGTGGCATTAACTGATTTCTGTGAAGTTTTTCTTTAATTTGTATCTACATGTAGTAAACAAACTAGTCAGTAGAGAACATCCAGATTAGTGACTTTCAGGTTCATGTTGTGACCAAAACACAAGGAACTCTGTCATCAGCATACATGAAATAGTTTTAAAGCAGCTCTTGTATTTGAAAGCACTTAAGGACGGTGCCTACTAAATATTAAGGTTTTGCACCAGGTTAGGACCACGCCGAAAAAGTAGATCTTTGCAAGGGCCATTGGAATCCACAAAGAAAAATTGGGGTAGCCACGCATTTTTTCCAGATAATCAGTCTTGAATCTCAACAAAAATGCTGACATCAACATTTTCTGAAAAAGAAGGAAAGGATATTTCTTCACAAATTTCCTTCGAAACCTCCCTTACAAACAGAAAAGCAAACACATTTATAAAGGTCTTAAAACTACGTGGTAAATGGTAATATAAAAACCATTTTTGGTATGTTTTTAATAACAAAATGGTTGCAACAGCGCTTTTAGTGTCTCTGACAGCCTTCCACTGGTTCAGCCAAAATACAGTCTAAATACCTTTTGGTCACAACCAGAAACTAATCACGTGTTGAATAGGCTTGCCACTTCAAAAGGTCGAGACAGCAGCAAAAATGTAGAAATTTTCAAAAATAATACAACTTTTTTAATTTTCACAAACATGTTTCGACGGTACATCTGTGATCATCAGTGTGACAGTTATGAAAGTTTACAGTGATTTGAAACGTGCCTGTTACAAATCATACGTTACATTGCGTTGGAAAACAATATGCTAGATAAATTTCGAAGTTAACGGAAATAAAAAGATGCAGGTGRGCGTGCAGCTATAGGGAAAGCATCAAACTGATGTGTTTGACCTGTTGATTAAGGTCAGGCTTTTCCCACTTGATGTACATAGACTCCTTAAGCTTAACTTGGTACTTGGTAGGTGCAGAGTCTAAGATCTTGAAGCAGTCTAAGTTACAAGGGGAACGGCACGACTCTGAAGCCTGCAAATGCTTGCAAATGCTTGCCACTTCCATTTCATAACATAAGATGTGGAGGTAACCATGCAGTTTTTAAAGTTATTGATCTTTTTTTGAGAACTTTTGCAATACCTGTTACATTTTTTCCTGTCACCTCCCTAGAAAGTAAAACATTTGCTTATTTCGCACTTGTTTTGTGCACGCACTATGCCGTCTGCAGGTACTTGTTCTGGGCTCCATACATTTGTTTCAACTGGTGGAATTTTTAAAAAAAGCACAGCTGTTTCAATGTGGGAACAGTTGTTATTATAAATGGTTTCTATGACCTTTCTTCATGATTATGTATTGATATTCAGGGGTTTTTTGGGCAGAATTTTTAAGCAAGAGGAGAGAATTGGTCTAAGAGAGATTCAGTAAGATGTTATGAAAAATAGAAACATTCAGAAAGAAAACATGTTTCACCACCAAATGCTCTGGAGAACTTTGGATATCTCTGAAGAAAAATCTGTAAGTTAACTTGAAATGTAATTCTTTAGATTAACAAGAAATCCACAATGGGAACAAGTAACAAATCAATTGAATAATAACCAGGCTAATACAAGGAGATGGAGAGGAGGTGCTAGAAGAGCTGGAGGTAATCCTTCAATTATGGGCCGTACTGAGGATCTCAGGATTTCAGTGCCAAACAATTTACATCGGGTGAGTTAGATACAGTTTCAATTTACTGGTATTAGGACTTCTTGCTGTCCATTTTTTTCTGTAATAAATACTAAAAACAGACTACTGCCATTAGTTAATTGAACATGGCATGAGAAAAAAAAATGCATGAGAGGAAAAGTGGTTCCTTTGCATTGCGACCAATAGACTCAGAATAACGAGGCACTGCTTGTAGTCCACCTACTTCACAGTGGTCTGATCTTGTCAATCAATTGTAAGGTCACAGACTACATTGGTCTCAACTCAGTGTTATTTCCTTTATTTACCGGAGGACAAATTTTCTCCTGCAGCCTGCTGCACTCAAGCCACTTTTGTACAGTAATTATGATCTGCCAATGAATTTGTCTGCTCCCAGAAAGGTAGGTAGTACAGGTTGTTTGCCTAAACAAGGCTTTGTTTCAAATGTTTGACACCTTTCTCCTTTGAGAATTGGTTTCCACCTAAGAGATTGTTACTTGGCTAATTGATGAAAGCCCTTATGTTGACATAATGGTTAAATTCCAGTTCATAATGTTGGAATTCTTTTTCTCTTGGAATTAATCTGGGGGTTAAAGGTTGAGTGTTTTCCCTCCCAAAACTGCTAGTAGGGGACACATTCTGTTTGTGAACACTGAATCATAATCTTGACCGCTTTATATTTGATGTATTGTAACATGACCCTAACAACTTACTAATACACAAAACAAACGTGCCAATGCTGCACTTCTAACTTGCCAAAAGTGAACATTGGTCAAACAGGAACACTACATGTAAATCATGGTCCCATGCACACAAACACATATTCATAGATTTGACAGTTCATTACTAAGTAGCAGGTGTTATGAAGTTGTATGCCCATAATTTTGCAAAGTAAGGTGACCACTAGGAAAGAGCTCAAATACCATTATAGTTCAATTTAGCACCCGCTGGCCTAATTAAAGTATTTCAAAGTAGTTTGAGGGAGGTTGCTTATCTGGAATGGAGCATGCTTTACCTTGACTCCTTTTTAATGCTCAAACTTTGAAGAATAAACTTGCATAATCTTACTTTAACAGATTTAAATTCACTGTTACCAACAAATAAAATCATTCTTTGCTCAAAACTAAACCAAACTCTGTACATTGGGCAGTTATATTGGAAGACAAGATCATATTGTCGAGTGCATTTACTGGAATAGGGGAATGAATTGATTGGAAAAGGAGCACATATTGGAACATAGGCTGTTATTATAAAGCAATTTTAAATGTGGAGTACATGTATTATGAATTTGAGGCCTTGTTTTGTTTCTTTCAGACCTTTGCAACTCTTAATGAGAGATTCTCCAGCTTCCCACAGACACAGAGTGTCAGGACTATTGTTGTAGATTAACATTTATTTTTTAACTGTTCAGTGTTATTTTATCCCAAAAAATTACATCAGTGTATTAAGTATGTTTTGAAATTGCTTCTTTTCAGAGTTGAAGCATTTCCTTTTCAAGAAACTGTATACATGTAATGTCTAGAACATGTCTTGTAAAACTTACATGTACCTAACAGTTTATTTTTTTCGTATGTTGTATTTTGATCTTACTTAAACTTATCCTTATCTCAACTAACTTCCATAATTATGAAAAGGTCGGGAATGCCCATTGTCTTGTTTAGGGGTATAAATCAAGTATTGTGGTCTCATTGAGGTTAATCATTTTTTGTGTCAAAGTATCTTTTAGAGTACACTCAAAGAAATACTATTAACTCAAATTTTCTGATGAGCATCCTCAACCTTTTCGTATGGGAGTGCCCCCCCCCTCCCCCCCCCCCCCCGCCCCTTACCATGACCTCAGTTTGAATTTACTGTTATCCCTTTCTGTCTCTTTTTATACGTTTATGAAGCATTATTTTGGGGTTGCTGTAGTTTGAAGGTACATTGTAACTTTATGGCTTGCCAAATCGGTTTCTTTTATCTTTTAAAATGCTGAGTTAATTCTGGTTAACACCTTCAAACTGCAGTGTTTTACCCATTGTTTTATTTTGAAAGCTCGCAGTAGGAGTGGTTGATGAGTATGAGAAGTAAATGCAGATCAGAAAGAGACTTAAAATTTGTATTAGCTGATCAAATGAACATTAAACTTAGACGTGTCTATTCTATTTAGTGTTGTGAAATAATGGTTTTTTCCCCAGGGGTTTTTCCCATGCATATCAAAGCTATTTTGTAACTCCAACTCTGCACATGAAAATTCACGGCTTCACAACTTTATACCTGCACACTTTTCCCGAATCTCGGGGTGAGAATTCATTGTTTTCCCAACTGACTCGATCTAACCAGAATGATGTTTCCATATTGATTTTGAGATCTGAAAGCCAACAATCCCTGGTGAATTTTAGACCTTCTTGGGCTTCTGTTGACTGCTAAGCAGACGCTCTTTGGCACCGTGTAGCAATCTTTGTCTCAAGTTGCGTGACTAGCCCAAGGAGCTGGTTATCTTCCTCCTGTCGACTTTCTAATGAGCTTTACAATGCTTTTTGTTGAATCCCTTGTGAACGTCCAGGTTTCACCAGCTAGGTTACAGAGAGATGCTGTGACAAATTGCTGTGACAAATTGCTGTGACAATGTTGACAGCGACCTGTAACAGCTGCCTATGTTCCCGCCAAAAAGTCGCCTCTCCAGCCTCTGTCCCATGTTATTTCCTCAAACTCGACCCAATCTTTTTTGTGTTCCCTTGGCAACATGGAGGTGCAGATAGACCGATTTGGCTGCTCATTTGATTGTGGTAGAGTGGTAGAGTAATTTCCTCGACATAATGTTAAGCAATGACAACGAAAGAGTTCTGTGGGTGATTTAAGTGCAAGAAGCTGTTGAAAATGGCGATGGAAAGGCTCGCAGTGATCAGAGACACCCACAACAAAACGATAACGGCTCTGTCATACAACCCTATGAAACATGAGATCTTGGTGGGATTTGAAGGTACAGTCAAGGAATTTTGTTATTTGCTACGAGTATGAAAAGTTTCTCGATGTCATTTGAGCCTGTAAGGCTCCAGCTTAGCTGGTTATCTCTATCAGCGCTTTTATTGTCCTCGTGAAGCGAACAACGACATGCATAAACTTTGAGTTCAAAGTTCCATGTTCATAGATCAGCTGTTAACTTTTTACAACTTCAGTAAACTTTAGTCTTATCTGCGTTTAGAAACTAGGTCATCTCTGTGAAGTATACATGTAGTTTTGCAGCTAAAAATTGTCAGGATGACTTCAGGAGAAGAAAATTATATCAGTGTTTTTCTTAGCAAAATGCAAACAAAAATTTGGAAGAATTGGAAAATCTATCATGTGATCCTGAGCTGCCAGTAAGGGTTTACAATGAAGTACTTCAGAATTTCCCCAAACTTTCTCAATTGTTTTCATGTAAGGCTATGCAAAAATAAGAAGCAACTACTTTCTATATCTTATTTATAGCATAACTAGAAAAGAAAGTCAATATATCTATGTGCCAATCTATAAGTACATGTATTAATCCTCATATTTTTACTAGATGGAGTTATAAAGGTCTGGGATTATTCAACTGGTGAACCTGGAAAGCTGCTTCGCTCAGTTCGAGAACATGATGGCTGGGTTACAAGTTTCCTATTCTGGTTAGTGAGGGCTGTGTAAATTATCTAAACCATGAGGCAATTTTAAAGTTGGTCTTTGGTAAAGATTTCTGAGCTGGTCTGAGTTCACCCAGAGGTGCACATTTGAGCTCAGTGATCATTGTACATGTACAGTGCCTCTCCACCCACAAGTATAAAACGACCCACAGAATGGTCATAACTCACTGCAATTAGGTTGTTACAAAAGTTGTTCTCAGGGAGGGCATGCACAATATTACATGCAATTTTACTGTCACGTCAGTAAAATATAGTTAATGGAACGTGACGCTCGTAATCAGTAAGCCTTTCATGGCGGCGTTGTTTTCAATTAAGCTATTGTGTAGGCAAGCTCCCAAGGCCAAGCAGACTCTGAGATACATTGTATTCTAGCTCAAACATTATGGCTTTGTTACNGCTATCGGAATCCACAAAGAAAAAAGAGGGTAGCCACGCATTTTTTCGAGATAATTAGCCTTGAATCTCAACAAAAATAGTGACATCAGCATTTTTCTGAAAATAGAAGGAGAGGATATATCTTCACAGCTTTCTTTAGAATTCGCCTTTACATACAGAAAAGCAAACACATTTATAAAGATCTGAAAACTACATGGTAAATGGTAACAAAACCCTTTTTTTGGTATGTTTTTAATAACAAAATTGTTGCAACGGCACTTTTAGCGTCTCTGACAGCCTCCCTCTGTTTCAGCTAAAATACAATCTAAATATCTTTTGCTCACAACCAGAAACTAATCACCTGCTGAATAGGCTTGCCACTTCCATTTCATAACATAAAATATAGGGGTAACCACGCGTTTTTTAAAGTTATTGAACCTTTTTTAAACTTTTTACGGTGCCTGTTACATTTTCTCCTGTCACCTCCCCAGTTTGCGTATCTCGCACTTGTTTTGCGCGCGCACTACGCCATCTGCAGGTACATGTTTAGTTTCGGCATAATTTTCGACAGATAACAGCTAGTTTTTCGGCTGGAAGACGTTAACAGTTAGTGGTTAGCAATATGCTGCTGTTCTGGTGTTTCTGGTGTAAGTACAGGTTCATTAAGCTTGATTTGGTCACAGTAGGAAAATTTTGCTTTCAATTTAGTCTCGTACTTGGTAGCGTAGTTGATTGCGTGATGTCAACCCAGCGCGCGCGTGGCGCTTAAACCATGCCTTGCGTGATGCGCAGAACGTGTGCGCACTAACAAAAGTAGGCACCGTCCTTAAATTCACCAGTGTGACTGTTAATTCTATTTCCTCTAAGAGTAATCTTTTATTTGAAATAAACAGCAACCTGTTCGTAAAAAATTGATTAAACTCTGTCAAAATACCAAGTTTACTTCTACCAATAGTTGTTCTGTTTTTTTTGTTTCTTCAGATGTCTTCTGTCTCTGAACATACCAGTAACATTGCTCTATTGAGATCCATTTTTGTGGAGAACCTTGACTTATTAGTGGTAGCATCAGAAGACAACAACATTTGTAAGTACATTTTACATGCAGTGTTGACAGTTTGTCTTCATACGTGTAGCGGTTTTGTCATTACTACAGGAAAACCAAACCTAAGACATCGCCACTGGCCCACCAAAACAAATAAAATAATTGAATGGACCAGTCAGAACGCAAAGCAAAAAATATGTAACCAGTGGCAAGTGCTGGAAAACGGTGAAACGAGTGGCAAGGGCGGGAAAAGCAAATAGCAGTGCCAAGCGTAGGAAAAACATGAAACCTGTACCAAGCGCGGGAAATCATGACGCGGGGCGTGAAAACGTTTAGCCCTTGTTAAGCGCGGGAAAACATGTGACCAGTTCTAGCGTGGCAGGGGCGGGAATGTGCGGGGAAAGCGCCAGTAATTCCCCGTCCACACTACGCCGGGGGAATTTGAAAACGGAGGTTTCACTCTGAAAACGCATCAAATGTTTTCTGTCCACACTACGCCGGGAGAATTTGAAAACGGAGGACTCACTCTGAAAACCCATCAAATGTTTTCCGTCCACACTAGGCTGGAGGAATTTAAAAACTCGGTCAGGGAAATCATATGATTATCGTGACGCCATCGTTTTCGAAACGCTCTGATTTCACAATGTTTTCGGTCCACACGAAAAAACGATAGGCGTCGTTTGCAAATTCCTCCGTTTGCAAAAGCTCCGTTTTCGTTACGGATTAGTGTGGACGGTAGGCCTAACCGTAGAAAGAAAGCTGTGTTTTCAAATTTCTCCGGCATAGTGTGTACGCCGCCTTATAAGAAAAGAAAAACAAGAGGTTTGTCTTTAAATTCAGTTGACAAAAACTGAGGCGCGTACTTTCAACTAAAAGGAAGTTACCTGACTTTTAGGAAATAAGTGGAATTATTTGCTTTGATAGATGTGTGGGGTTTTGACGAAGATGCTGTGAAGGTGCTGGAGAACATGAGACCAGCAGATGAAAACTTGATTTACAAATACGCAATCTTGCTTGGTGGGAAGCATTTCAAGCCCGTTACGAAGGACTCAGAGGTAGCGTGACACTTAAAGTTTGCGTGACAATTGTAGCAATTCTCAAGACATACCACTAACAAGTTGATACTTCTTCACGACTAGCTTCTTCCAGGCGTTCAGTCCAACTATTACTGAATGCCTGGAAGAGGCTACTTCACAACTTTCCCGCAGATAGAAAACGGCAAAATTTTCGGAGCAATCGCCTACGAATACTTAGCAAAAATGGACGTATATTTTTAAACGCATGCGAGTCGTGTAGTTTTAATGAGGCGAAGGTTTGAAACACTGCAACTGAGACCTTTACTCTAGTTAAAACCTTGGGGCGGGTGCTTCTGAATAACCAAAATATATTAACATAGTGTCAAATTTTTTGTGCTTTCTATGGCAAAGCGTTGATTTGAATCTCAATCCCTGGCCGCCGCCTTTTGACCTGACCCTACCCCGTCGTCTTCCGTATTGTTTCATGTGTATTCGGTTTTGTTAACAGGGTTCCACGGAACATGACTCTGTGACCAATCGAGTGGCAGGATTCATCTGTAAACACGTGTTTACTGAGCACTCTAGCTGTGTGACTGGGCTGGCTGTGGTAGGAAGAGAAGCTGGTTATAACACTACTTACCTGGTAAGATTCACTTGTAACGTAAAATATGTCACAATGCTTAAACTCAGACGGGCCAGATTACTCATCAGTACTCTTTTCAGTCGCATGAAACAACTTGAAGTGTTGCTACTCCCCCTGCTAATCCATCACAGGTTAACCCCACCCCCCACCCCCGCCCGACCACAGCATTTTGTCATTCGTCAGTCAGACGCGCTACCTATCGTTCCCGCGGGCAGGAAGAGGAGAGAGCCTGGGGACGACATTTCCGACAGTAAGAATCAGTAGTGGACTGCATTGTCATTCGTACAGCGGTGTTCGTGATAGGCTTTTGAACAACTAATGTTTTCTCCGTTTTGATTGTTTCATGTTACAGCTCAGTGCCGGCTGGGACAGAAGAATCTTTCTGTGGGACTTAGAAGCTGCCTGGTAATGCTTTCTTCCGTCGCGATTTACATACAGAATTAATCGATTTTAAGACAAAAAATTTTGCAGGTTGAAAGCAACTGAAACCAGAGAAAAAACATCGGCATTCAACGGGTTTCAGATATTATTAAGTTGTACTGTTCCGCGCTAAACCGGCTGGTAGAGTTTTTGATATAGCGTCTTATAAAGGGTTTCTAGCTATTGTTAGTTTCATTGTACGGTGGAGAGAAAATCAGCTTAATCTGAAGGAAATGAAACAAAACGTGGAGAAATTGACAGTGAAATTTCGGTTACCAACTGGAATATGTCAACATTTTAATAGTTAATCAAAAGCTTTAATGAAGTATCGAGAAGTATGCCAATAGCTTGAATCGTGTGACTGTAAGTCAACTCAAATCCTCATTGCTTTCCCACGGCTTATATCTTTCATAGTTAGCTATGATCATTTTGGTATTTGTTCTTTCTGTGTAGTTTTCATGACACGTTCCGCAACACAGATCCCAGTGCACTGGAGAGTGATGAGCTCGCCTCAGATGGGATCATTATGGACTTAACTTACAGCCCTGAAAGGTATGCGGACTATTTTTGCCGAACTTTCTCTTGAAAAATCCTCCACTACAACCTCTGCATCTGTTACTTTTTTCGCAGAAATGAGTTTGCCTATGCTTCCTCCGACAAGCTGGTGTACATCAGACAATTTTCTGATCATGGAGCTGAGATGACATTGTCAGCGGTCTTACAAGGCCACGAGGCCGAAGTTACGCAGGTAAGCCTTCAGAGCGGAGAAACGTGCTGCGCAGCTTTCTGCGCATCCCTTGTCCTACTTGCGGGCTCAGGTAATAATGCACGCTACAATGGTTTGCAATGGTTGGAAAGAGCGGCGGACTGTAATAAGGTACGCGAAGATGTCGCTCGGTTGATTTATTTATTCTTGGGCAAGCATGAAGTTTTTTCGGCATTTCACTGTTAAGAAAACAAGTCTCCCCCTGCCTGCTGAGAGGCTCTCTTGCTTATATATTCAGTGGGTTACTTATATGGATGCAATATGTAAAGGGTGTTTGTGAATTAAATGTGTCTTTGCAACGAAATTTCTTGCATAATGAGGGAAAACGAAGGGCTCGGAAACCGTCTTTGGGTTAATTTTGTCCCAAAAACATTGATTCTTTACGAAAACAATACACCAGCTTTCCATTAGTGACGTTAAAATGTTGCTGCTTACCGGAAATATTGGGAAAACATACAAAGTTCGTAACTTTTTTTGTTTACACGAGCGACGAAATTCCCGCCATTTTTTTTCAAACCTGGGGCCTGGCGCACAGTCAAAACTCGCGCATGCTTATTACGCTTTTCCGCTCTGAAGGTAAGACCGCGATAACTCGAACTCGTTCCCAGGGCCCTATCTGCGTTCAGATTTAAGTGTGGCTAGAACAAGACGCCATCTTGATATTGTTTGAGTTGTGACGCTGCGAAACGTTGCGAGACGACTCTAAGACTGAAAAGGGGCATGAACTTATCTTTTTTATCACTAATAAAATGTTTCTACTTTTGTTTGATTACTGATTGACCTTACTTCTTTTTTCGTCTTTGAAGGTTCGCTGGAATGCAGTGCTTACAAAATGGATCACAGGCTCCGAAGATGGCACAATTCGTGTTTGGGTATGTTATTGTGGTGCTTATATGACGTAGTAGTTAGTACGCGACTGACTATCTGTACGTTCTCCTCTTGTAGTGTTTCGACTAATATAAAAAAATTGTCGTTGAGACATTAGAACATGGAAGGTGAGGAATAGCTTTCCATGCGTACCGCTCTGCTAAGACTCGGTGACATCATAGAGAATAAGCCATTTCGGAGTTGTTCTTACCTCTGTTTCAAACCGAGTCTTGGTGCACAACCATTCATATTGAAACGAGTTTTCACTGCACGTTCAATGTCTTACAAATCAAATTCATTTCCAAATGAAAGGTTGAGCACCAGGACTCGTTTTTGAAATAGTGCTTAAAAAGCAACTTGGAAATGGATTATTTGGAGTGATCCTTGTTAAAGGACTCTGGTCAGCCTCCGCCATTTTCGATTCCATCGAATTATTGACATTGCATGTTGAAGCGAAATCTTATTGCTTTACTGAAAGTTGTGTTCTTGAAAGAATGTTTAATTATCTTTCGTAGTTTCACAGTGATTTTCTTCGTTTCGACATGCTCCGAATAGAATATAATAGCTTAACTCTCACATGTAAAGAAAAACAAAGGAGTGGCTGACTAGGGCCCTTTAAAATGTGGTCCGGCCTCGCTCATTGACACCTTGTACACGGTAGAGAGCAGACGGGATGGCCTGTGAACTAGTGCTCAGTGCCCAAGGAGCAGTATCTGCGTTGTGTATTGACCAAGTGAATGGCTGTATTGTGGCTGGAGTCCAAGAGATTATCAGGTAAGCGCTGCATGAGCGATCAACACCTCATTTCTTCTTACTATATTGATACTGTGTCAAGAAGACAGGTGAGGAGAATAAAGAACATTGTCAACTACTCGAGTATAACAGTTGACGAAGCAATAACTTCTCAGCACTAACGTTAAAAGAAATGTATGGCAGTCGTTAAGGAAAATTCAGTTTCACAGGTTTGCCACAGGTCAGGAAATGCTCAGGGGAAAAAAATCTTCAAGTCAAGGAAATTTATTTTGAGTCAGGAAAAACTGACATTTTGCAGAAAGGTCAGGGAAAACTAAAATAATATAACACGGTTTATTTTAAACACCATTGAAGGTTAGAAGAAACATTTGGGGTCACTGTGATCTCAACAATATTTTTCCGCAGTGGAGAAGGAAAATTTGTTGAAAACTTATCCGTCTTAATGAACGAATAGATAGGACGGCTGTAAGTTCACTAGATCTGACATTTTGAATTTTTTGGTTAGGGAAATGCTGTTTTTGTCAGGGAAAAGTCGGGGAATTTTGAAATGTGATGTCTGTGGCAGCCATGTTACAACTTTGAACTGTTCTTTTTTTCAGAGTTTATGATCCAGACACGCGTAAGATTGTTCAGAAGAATCTTGGACACAGCGATTCAGTACGATGCGTTGTTCACATTCCCGAGAGAAGTCAGGTATTGTAAGGCAGTTTCCGTTTCTACCTGCGGTACAGGTCATCACAGGAACGAGGCAAACAGCAAACCATTCGTTTGCCTGTTATATTCTCGCACCATTCCCCGCGCCAGTATAATTAGAAACGGGGGAAAGCTATTTCACGAGCCCAGAGCCGGGAGCAGCGAGTCTCTTTTTGCGAGCCCCGAAAGATTCCCGCCAAAAAATTCCAAAAACGGGCATAATGCCCCAGTAAGGTGTGTATTACATGCGGGGTGCTCCATTATGCCAAACCGACCGGTACGAGTCCAGTGGGAATACCCGAGGAAAGTGGAACAACATTATCCGATCGAATCGGGCCAACCAACCAAGAGGAATCGGGCTCTTACCATTGTTTATTCCTTTTCCGAATTCCCTACATAAGTGAAGAGAAGTAAGGCAATGAACCAGTTTGTCAAAAATGGAACAGCAATTTGGTAGGACCGGTCAGCCCGAAATAAGTGGATCACCTCCAGAGGTGATCCCGAATATTCCGATCGGAAGAAACCGAAATGGACCTTTCCATTTGACTTCCGAACGAAATTTCAGGAATCTTTTGCAATCTTTCTTTTGAATTGCTCGAAATAAGCAGTCGTCCAGTCCTTCGATTTTACCGGGAAACACAACTAAGAGCCTGGTTTCCCGAGAGGCAAAACAACGGACAACTTGAAGGCAAAAAAATGTATATACATGAATCTTTTGTGGCGGTGCTTGATTAATGTTTTCGATATATCATCCTGATAATTACCGAAAATTCGCCTCACTTGAACGTTTCCCTGTTTATTTTTGGATTTTAGTCAATTTTACATAATCGGCATTTTGATACGAACATTTACGAGGGAAACTCAAAATTTCATTCATATCTGAAACTATAAACTGACCTTCAAAATCCACTCAGGATGAAATTAAATTTGATACAGACGGAAAATTGCTTACGCGGAATTTCACGCACGAAAGAAAATCGAACTTTTGTTTCTTCTGCCAAGTGTAGCATTTACTGAGTAAAACGTTAACGTTAAATTAAAAACTCAAAAAAAAAAACTCAAAAAAAAAAAAAACGCAGTGGCTCGCAAATATAGGCTCGCAACTCGCGGCTCCTACTCACAGGCTCGCACATTAGTTACACTCTTATGCCCGGTTCAGGCGCCGTACTTCACATGAGCCGAATCGAATGCTAATGAGAGAGAACAAAGGATTTTTCTCATTTGCATTCGATGTGGCTCATGTCAAGTACGGGGTCTGAACTTGGCCTTAGATACGAGCCATTGACAGCAACAACCACAAAGAATAAAAGCTTTATTTCCGTGTCAAGGGATTTTGCATTTCTGCTAATTGGGGACACGAAGTTTAAATAAGTTTAAATGAGAATTGAGATGCCTGTTTCTATTTGCTGGTGTCGAATTTTTCAACTTATTCTTAACTATTTTTTTTCCAACTTATTCTTAAATATTGTTTATTTTTCTTTCTGTAGTACGTTTCTGCTTCCTGGGACAAAACGGTTCGAATATGGAACGCTTACAAAAAAAGTAAGTTTCTACTTCTTGCTTCATTTGAAACACTCGTGAGAGCCGAGCAAAACTGGAGAAAAGGAAAAACAGGGGAAATTGCTCAACGCTCTTTATATTTCAAGTTTGTGTTAGGTTATTCCTGATCAATGTCTTTGTTATTTTAGCTCGTAAAAAGCCTGCTAACAAGGAGACAGATTTTCCTGGCTCAAGTAATGAAAATTTTGAGGATCATGCCCTCTGTAACTAAGGTAGGACATCTCTTAGTTTCCGGGTGCTCGTCGGAAATTATGAAAGAAAAAAAACGGTACCTGTTTTGTGGGCGTAGCCTGAAATGTCTTTCACCCCTAAAAGGTGCCAATTCTGAAACAACATCTCATCTCCTGTCAAATTTGTTTCGGGTCAATACCCTTAAAGGAACTGCTAAAGCTTCCACTGTGGGTGGAGCTTTTGAGGCTGAACACCCTCAGTTAACATGTAACCCCTAAAAGGAACGACGAGCACNGTTTCATTCACTTGTCGAGTGCTCGTCTTAGAAATCAAACTGTTCTGGTCGTGTTTTCTCAGGGACGTGACTGTCACACAACATTACTGGCTCTACTGACGTGACAGTTCCAAGCATTGTGACAAATGGGTTTTGACCTGAACGTGTTCTTAAGTGATCAACGTTTTCTTGCAGGGCGATAAACAAGCGAAGAATCAACAAGTTGTGAAAGTACGATCGAAGGCGACTCATTAAATTACAAAAAATATAAACAAATCTGTAATGAAAATTGTAAATATGTAAATATGTAAATATGTACGTACAATTGTAAATTTCATTTTTATATTTATTATTATTTTTTGCGTAATAAAGACAAGATTGAGTTAAAATAGATGGCAGCCTCCAGTGCTGTTCGCGTGAACTCAACTGAATTTTTACAAGGAATCTTAAATATTGTAACGCAACAGTACTTTCAATTCTGAAATTTGCCGATATGATATAAGAGCTTCTGTTATTCTTTAAAAAATAGAAAACATGTACCGTGTTTCTATCGAGTTTTAGTATAAATCTACTAGCGTTCTATCACGAATGCCGCTCTCTGATTGGCTACGCTACCCACTATCTCTTCTGTGATCGATAGTGAGTAGCGTAACAGTGTGCCCTAACTAACAAAATAACGGCCGCTTCGTGGCGTTTTCGAAGTGTCTGTGAAGAGGATTTCGATAAACTAAAACAATTAGAGTTTACGCTCTGGATTTCTATGCGTGATGGTTGACGAGGGCGCAGCCCGAGTCAACTATCACGCGATAGAAATCTCGAGCTCATGATCTAATTGTGTAATAGAAACACGGTTTTAAACCAATCGGCGCGTGCAGTTGTCTTGGGTTATTTTCTAAATAATATTTATACATGTGGAGGCAGCGTGGCCTATTATGTTTCTTTGAAATGTTTCTTTCTTTCAGTTTAAGTTGCATGCCTGAGAACTACTGTAGCTAGTTGTAGCTAAGCGCATCGACCACTCTGAACATTCAACATTACTATTCAACAACAACAACATGAGGTTTTACTTACTCACGAAACTATTCAGGTGCAAATATGGAAAAACTGTCTTGTGACCTGTGCGTGTTTGTTACCGCCCTCTCGCGTGACAAAGAGGGAAATTCCCGGAAGGAAGGAAGTGATTTTACAGCCCCTATATCACGTTACACAGGTTGCGGATTTTCTTATTTAAAGGCAGCGTTTGTCGACCGCTTGTATTTTATACATGTAGTTCAGTCTTGTGATCGCTCAGTGATGGTATTTGGAGTTGCTATTTGGTTGTTTTGCGTGAGTGGATTTTGCTGCTACGGTATGTACAACATGTTCTACAGCAGAGTGGTTCTACACCGACTGATAGTTATTTTTAAATTGATTATACAGTACACAAATTGTTTAGTTATATCAAGAGACTTTGAGAAGGGTAGAATTTCACAATTTAAATGTTGTAGTCCGTATTTCCAAAGATTCGTTTTAAAAAAAAGAACATTTGCCGAAAGTGATAGTTGTGCAATACATGGTCGTTAATTCTCCAGGTACATGCTCAGTTCAGACATTTCTCTGGCTGTAGCAACGCGTCATAACACATATTGTTCTTATTTTGAACATGGTTTTGTTGTCTGCGGAGCGACTTTAGCAGATCGCTAATCTGAATAGATGAATGTCTAAGATGCCGAGGATACAATCATATATATCTTTAACCCCGCTGTGTGGTGATGGATACATTGCTGCAGGAAGTTTCTTGTTTTCGAGCGTTTTGCTGTGAGGGTTGACTCATTTCCTTTTTAGTATAGTCCTCATATGTTTCAACAATCCACCAACGGGAGAGTGAAGTCTCTATAATGTATAAAGTCGTAGCAGGAGTCGATTTTGAATTTCGCTTGCGTGACTTGGCTGATACGTAATCGCTGCATGCAGGTGAATGTAGGCGTGACGCCGAAAGTCAGGCGAAGGTCTTTAGGGACCTTAAGGGCCCATTAACCGATCTTTTCGAGCCGTTGCTAAGGAAAATTAATTCTCATATAACCTCGTCATTTTTAGTCACTTCAGAGGTATTTCATGTGTTTTAACTTTTTCATGATCAGCAACACTAGTGATGACGTCATCAGGCCACGCCCATAGTCATGTGACTAATACTAAAAACACGCAAAGGCTCTCAGGCAAACTACTTTATCGGAATTTTTTTCATTGATTTAATATTTTAATTTAAATCATCATTACGCTATGCATCGATTTTGTTTCATTTCTAAAAGGCCAGATTTTGAGAGAATTTCAAAATATTAAAAAGTTCGTAATTTTCTGAAAAAAGCATGATTTTGAAAAAGGAATCCATAGCTATGTTGCCAACGTTGGTTTTACTCGACATCCGTCAAAAAAGGCTGGATTTAAGGAAAACCCGCGTTTCCTTTAGCATTTAAAGAAACCGGAAGTGCGCCCGATATATATTGGAAGTTACCCTATCAGCGCGTGCGCAATTTACACTTCCAGCAC